GAAGTAGTAGCAGTCCTCAAAATGGAAGAGATGAAAAAGACTGAGGAGACGTTTCTGATTAAATGAAGGGTAGTAGGGTCCAAAAAGGCAAAACATGCAGATTAGCCCCTCAACTCGTCGACTGGTGGCAAATCAACCCCTCAACTCAGTTCACGTGCAAACTAATCCCTCGACTCGTCTGCAGTGGCAAATCAGCCCCTCTGTTAAGGCTAACGTCATCAATCCGTTAAGTTTTAACGTTCTGCTCTTAAGTCCCTCCTCTCGTCTGACGTGGCTTGTTTTTGCTGAGATGGATGCGCACCTGGACAAATGTCAGCCGACTCATCAGATCAGAGTAATTTACTTACTTTTCTGCCCTTAAATGGTTTGGTGAAATTTAATTGGGGATCTAGGGTTTTATTGCACCTTTTATCGTCTTCTTCCTTCCTTCTGCCCCTTCTTTCTCCTCTTCCAAACGGCGTCACTGGCTGCACCTCCATCTCCACCTCATTGGCGACGGCGGCGGGGGTGGCGGCTAGATCGGCTTTAGTTAAAACCGTGGCCACCAAAGCGTCTCTTAAAGAAACTGTCCTGCTCCTGCTCTTGGCTTCACTTTCCGCAGAATACTCGCTGCCCTCTGCCCCTTCTTTCTCCTCTTCCTTTATCATGTACAGAAGCCAGGAGGGACCGTACGCGGCGGAGGGGGATGATGGGATTTTTTCTTGGAAATGAAGGAGAAAAAAGAAGAGTAAAAGAAGGAGAGTAGAGATGACGTGGACATCGAGGGAGGGGTGACATGGACTTTACCTTTTAATTTTGAATTAGTTAGGCGGATGACAAGTTTTTGTCTAACTCTACTGTCCACTAGTTTTGGAGTATAATACCATTTCCTTGATAATATCCGTAGTTGTGTTTTTGATTTTATCTCTATATATTAAGGATTTTAGTATAGTTTGTGTTTTTTGTTAAAAAAATTTATAACAAAATAAATAATTATAATTGAAAATAAAATGAAAATTAATTTTAAAAAATAAAAAAATATTTTATATGACAAATTATATATTCAAAATATAATTTATTATATAAATTTATTAAACTATTATTAATAAATTATTTTTTATTATTTTATTTAAAAATATTTTAATAAATTTATAAATTAAACTGTATTTATAATATATAGTTTATACTGTATTATTATTACATGAATCTTTAAAAAAATATTTTTGAAAAACAAACGAATTTAAGGGTATAAAAGTAAATTATTCTGATATGATGAGTCTGCTGACATTTGTCTAGGTGGCACATCCACCTCAGCAAAAACAAGCCACATCAGACGCAGGGGAGGGGTTTAAGAGCATACTGTTAAAACTTAACGGATGGATGACGTTAACCTTAATAGAAAGGTTGATTTGCCACTACAAACGAATTAAGGGGTTAATATGCGCGTGAACTAAGTTGAGGAGGTGATTTGCTATTAGTTGATGAATTGAGGGGTTAATCTGCATGTACCCCAAAAGGTAGAGCAATAAAAAACCGAAGGGAAAAAAAGGGGAAATAATAAAAATTTTTAAATTTAAGAAATACTATATAACCTATAAATTCTTATCGGTGAATGGAAAAGGAAAAGTATTACTCCCTTTCGCCATTGA